TTTCCAATCAAAGATTTTATAACAAGAATATTTGTAAACTTAAGAGAAAAAATATGACATTTTATGTAATTTGATGAACACAAGTACCTAGTTATTTCAAATATTTAAAAACATAAATTGTAATGGAATATACCTAATATTTTTTAGAGGTTATATACTGTGACATTTCATGTTTACCACGCATAAAGTAGATATTTCAGGTCCTATGAAATTCGCTTTGGTAATATTCTAAAAATTGTTCTAACTCGTGTTCCAGTAGGTATTTCTCATTTTTAAAACATGTTCTATAATGCAAACACCGTCGTCAACATTGCAACTACGGCACTGCCAGAATTGTTACGAACTTAAAATTGTATATCATTGTGCACCTACAAGTGACAGATGGTGACAGCTAACAGCAAACCTAAAGTGTTGATGCTTGCGACATTTTTCTAATTAGCGATTTATTTCTTAGCCTGTATTTCGTTTCGTTGGCTTTTATCGGCCATTATTATTAATAGCCGCTAGATGGCTATTTGAAGTGGAGACTAAAAACCTACTCGGATCTAAGAACAAACTTGAAATACCACGAACATAAAGGAATAAGAGAGAACATCATCTACACTCGCATTCACAGTTTTTCAAGGTTTTCGCGGTTTTAAACAGTTTTTTTCTAGGTTTATGTTAATTTTCATTTAGTTATTTGGATAGGTATTTACATTTTTTTAATTTTATTTAATAATTTGTTTTTTTTTAGGATAATTGTTTATTTTTATTTAATAAAAAACCATTGTTTTTGTTTTTCTTCCTCTAATCTACTGTTATACAAAATTGTCACTTGGCAACACTGGATTCCCCCAGTTGCATTTATGTGCTAGAAAATTACTTTGAACAATGTGAGTGTAGAGCCATTCTGCTCCATAACGTTCAAGGCCATTCACAGAGAGACTTCTCTGTTTTTCAACATTAAAAAAAAATAGCTATTTGTGTATTAAGGACCGATTCCACCGTTGTGTTAAACGAAGTTTAAAATGACATTTTTACATTAACAATGTCATTTTAATCTCCGTTTAACACAACGGTGGAATCAGCCCTTAGAGCGGAAAGTGCTACTCTGCCGCTTAAGATAAAAAGTTGCCGCGTGACGCGAAGCGGAGTGCGGCATTTTATCGTAAGCAGCAAATAGCTTTCCGCTCGAATTACACACACGATTTTTTCTACGATCACACAATATTAAAAGTATATAGTTTTATTTTGCCGAATTCAAATCTTACTACGCTAATTTGACAGACACGGCTAACTTGACTAGCAAACGAAAAGTATGTTATGTGTATATTGTGTTGCCTGCTTACTCTAGGATTAATTTTATGATACGCATAAAACATATTTGTTAGTAAGTACATCTTAAAAATAACTTACATGATCATCAGTTAGAATACTCAAATCGCAAATGTATGTCTTATACACTATTCTAAGTTTTATTTAATTTTACAAACAAAAAAATCAAATTTAAAAAAGAATTACTGGTGAGGATTGAACTCACGACCATCAGGTTCAAAGACAAATGCTCTAGGCTCTACACCAACAAGACATGTTAAATATGAGTGTTAAAAATGTCATTTATTTTTAATTTAATTATCATTTAAATATTAAGGAAAATGAGTTTGAGTATTAAATGTTCAACTAAAAGATTCAGATTAGTCTACATTTTCTTTTAGATAACCGATTTGCGTTTTAATGAAAATAGGTGTGTGCAAAAAGTAACTTTCCGCCTATATGCGGCAAATAATGTCAAACTATGACAATTCATGGAAAACGTCAACTTTCCAGTTTTATTTGAATGTGCAAAAGCCTAATTTGGATAGTGATCGTAGAAAAAACATATACAGGGTGTCTGTAAAAGGTCTTTACAAAAACATACTACATATTCCTTAGACCAAAATAAGTCGATTTAAGTAAAATTACCTTAGTACAAAGTTGCTTCGTTTGGGCTCCAGAGGGCCTTGATGTTACAATTTTTAAATCGTTTTTCCCATATAAATTTAAAACGGCATATGCGATTTTGCTGACGTTTGGTATATTGGTAGAGTTTTATGTGGCAAAAAAAATGGTATTAAAATTTTGTCCGATAATAATACATAGGCGTAGAACTTGTTTTTTTAAATAATTGCACCTTTAAAAATTCTACGCCAATGGAAGAAAAGGAGTTTGAGTATGAAATTTAGATTGCGCAACTCATTTACTTTAAAAAAGGTACTCTTGAAAAGACTCGATTACTCTCATGGTTTTTACGAAATTTGCATTTTAGTAATTTTAGAACATAAAAACAATAATTATTAAAATACAAACTTTAAGGTTAATTAGTAAGGCCTAATTGTTAATAATGATGTTAGGTACAGATGAGAAAATGTTTCTGATAGAGTCTTATTTTCGCTCATACGGAGTCGGCCGACAACGTAATGGTGCAAGTCTGCGATTCTTCCTAAACTTAGAACATCGTTATGAAATCTGACTTAAACGAGGAGGTACACATTTGGAACATGTACTAAAATGTCAATAATATGTATTTCTTATATAAATTAAAAAAAATACCAGTTCAGTACTGTTTATTTCGGGCAATACTGTATTTTAAAAAAGGAATTAATTACAAGTACAAAGTACATGTTGTAAAAACAGGAATTATATTGATTTAATTACAATTACATAAAAAGGAATTAACAATTACTTTTTTAATTACTTTGCCGATAAAACAACAAATTTTGATAGAATTGAGGAACCATAGATCAACCGGACCGATACAAATAAAAATTTTAAATAGGTTATTCAAAGCGTCAAACTAACAGCCGTTTGCAACGACTTTGTTAAGGATTTCTTAAAGTTAAAGAAATCTTACTTAAAGTTAAACTCGGTTTGAGGTGACACATGACAAATTTTGTATGGTATAGGTACAGTCTAAACACCATTTAACACTTAGGGCTTGTTTCCCTAAACATTAGACAGTACATATATAGCATCGGAAATTGACATGTATCACCTAAAACTGAGCTTAATTTTAAGTAAGCTTTATACAACCAGCCCTAAGTGTATTGTTGTCTGTACCATTTAAGGTCAACTTTTTAATTTTGTCGTTTAACCTTGGGATCCTTCATAAAAGTTTAAAACCAGTTTTTCAAATATCAAACCCTTGAAACATTTTTCAACAAGAGTAGACCACAGAATATAAGAAAAATATTTGGTGTAAAATTATTAATATTTCTTACTTTTCATCAAGCAGACAAAAAGTAATTACACCTGATTTGCAAGATCTAGTTATAATTATTCATAAAATGTTTGCATTGTTACTTTTCATAACAAGTTTTTCAAAATTTCTGTCGGACAGCGCATGCCTTCTGGGAGCGTTGACAATTGTGGCAATGGAGAATAATCTCACAACGGGCTCAGAAGAAGGAAATGCCGTATTATATTTAAAAAACACTTTTCTCATCAAGGGGGTAGCTATCTAGCATCGTAATATTTTTTCTTAAATCATCGAGATATTTTGTCACTTCTAACTGTACCCCATTTTTTTTTATGCAACCGAAGGTGTTACGCCTTCATTGAACTCAAAAAAGTCTTTATAATATCTTTGGTTGAAGTACTAATAAAATTAGCTTTCAAATGAAGTGTCACACTTTACCTATGTAATACTTTTTTATTCCGCTAGAGGGCGCTAAAATTAAAAGGAACGCAATGAACAGTCATTGCTGAATTCCCCATAAAATTACCTTTCGGACGATGTGTCATATTTGGTACTTTCCCTATTTAAATTGTATTGGTTAAATTGACGTAGGGAAGAAGAATGATATATGACCCCCTTGAAATACAAATCGACCTGTTTTTGCGTTCCTCAAGATATTCTGAGATACGGCCGGTCGCCACCCTTAATGAATCAGCCTGTACATAATATTAATAATATATTTAATAATCTAAAATGTATCGTTCTGTATCTCGTTCGTACAAACAAAAATGAGACACATTTTACTCAAATTTGGTTATAGATCAACATCATCAAATAATTTCTTATAACATAAAATATATTTATATTCCGTGTTAATTTATTTAAAATATTGCATTTTCTACGTTAAATTCAAATACTTGTAACGCTAAAGTAACTTAGAATACGTTTATTAAAATAGTCATTTCAATGTAGAAAATTGGAATAATAACTAGAAATACCTACGCAACGTAAATAAGTAGTTTTTAGTATTGTTGAACAATTTTACTACTTCACGGCATAACGTTTTCCTCAAATGCATTCAAACAAATGATATGGATGCTAGTCCGAGCTCTAGTGACCGGTTCGAATAGGAAATTTCTTGTTTTTATATCATGTGCATCTCATAAACACACATTTAAAAGTAATTGTAATTAAAAAATGTAATTGTACTTATAAATGTAATTGTAATTGGAAAAAGTAATTGTATTTAGACAATTTAAATAATATAAATTAATATAATTACAAAGTACATGAAAAAAGTAATTGTAATTATGAATTACTTTTTAACTAGGAATTACCCAGTTCTGGGACAAAGCAACTTTTTATCCTGCTTGATTCAGTTAGCAACTTGGAGTGGACGAAGGTGCAACGCGCGTTCGCTGTCTAGGAGTATTTAAATAATGCACGCAACGTGCATTCCGTGTAAATTTCAATATTGCGCCCCGTGTTCCTAGTCACCAATTTCCCCCATTAAACAATCGACTGCCAGTGGACGCAATATTGAAATGTACACTGAATGCACTTTGCGTTGGTGATTATTGAGCGACCGTTGCTAAAAACTCCTCGACAGCGAACGCGCGTTGTACATTCGTCCACTCTAAGAAACTGTCGCTCCAGGGCGCCAAATTCAAATAAGCGAGTTACCCTTCTCCACCCTGTGTTATAACCTTTTTGAAAATGTCACGTGTAAATGGTTACAAAAACAGCTTGAAGAATCATTTATTTTATATTCTGAAAAATACTAATTAACTGTTACTTTTTTTAGCGAGTATGTCAAAACATGGAGCAACATTTATCCCTACAGCTGCGACAAAAAATCAGAGTTTATCAAAAAAGGCATGGGTAAGTTTGTCGCATTAAAAAGTGAATGTACTGTTAGTAAAATGATATTAATGAGTATACATAGTTTTATTTGATTTTTTTTTACAGCTGCCTTCAGATCCAAAGCACCGCATATGGAAAAGTTCCCTAGAGACGTAACCACTGCGGAGACTAAAATAGGTGGGAATCCTAACATCCTAAGTGATCCTGCTTGTCTTCCCGAAAAGAAAAGAAACGTTGTGGCAGAAGTTTTTGGCTCACCAAATGCTAAAAAGAGTCCTAGGGATTCTAACAAAAAACCACGCTCCTCTCTCAGTAAGTCATTATTACATATATAATTTTTATAATTTTCATATACATTTGTTGTTTTTAGAACATAATCCAAAAGACACTGCCCATTTAACCCACAGAAGATTCCTCGGTGTAGACGATTACAAAGCGTACATCTGCATCCAATATCCCGGAAAAGACCGAATTCCCGGCGACAGTGAAGATGAAGAAGTAATACGTATAAATACAGAACGCGAGCAGGAATATAACTGCCATTCATGTCCTTACACCACAAGACGACTTGAAGTCATGATATTGCACACAAAATCCCACATACAAGGCGTTTATGTCTCGAGTCCTGGTAGGAAGCGACCAGTAGCAGCACGACCCAGAAAGAAAGAATACACAAAGAAGAAAGCGAAAACTTACTCTGACGATTCTTCGAGTGAAGATGTACCGGAACCACCTAAGGAGAAAAAGAGGAAGACTAAAGTCGAACCAAAACCCAAAAAACTACCGAAAAAAGTTGTCGAGGAAGTCAAACCGAAGTCAGTCGAGGATATTCGCACCGATTTATTAGCCGAATGGGAAGATTCCGACGACGAATTCGATATGTCAATATTTGACAAAACCCCCAACCTTTCAGAAAGTTACGATGTAACGGGACTCTCCAAACTGGACGAAACCGCTGATTTAAGCAATAAAGAATCAGATACAGAAATGAAAAAAATTGAAGAAATTGAAAATGGCGATAATGAAACGAAAGAAACTGCAAATGGTGACAATGAAACGAAAGAAACTAAAAATGTTGATATTGAAACGAAAGAAACTAAAAACAGTGATAATGAAACAAAAGAAAATGAAAATGGAAATATTGATACTAAAAGCATGTCTGACATAGAAAACGAACCTCTGCTTAGTCCCAAAGAGTCAAAAGACACTTCCAAACTTCAAATGGACAAAGAAACCCAGGAAGCTATCAAATCTTGTTTCGATTTCGACGAAGACGACGAAGATGACGATTTTCTCAACACAACAGTTGAAGTCGGTAGAAAAATTCCAAGAGTCATACCGCCAACTGAAAAAAGAAAATCCGAAATACTTGAAGACATCATCGACCTGGAAGAAGGCATCAATAAGGATGAAATATTAAAGGTCAGCCAAAGCTTCAACGAGAAAACCGCCAGTAAAGAATCCGAAGAATTGGAGAATACATTCAAAGATTTGATGGATACGACATCGGTTCCTAGACTGCCTAATATCGAAAATTCCCTTAAACCGACTCAAAATTTTCACGTAGTCACGACCATCAAATTTCCAGATAAACCAGACGAATCGCACAAGAAAGATCGCGAAAAACATTCGACCGAAGTTCCAATAAATCCTAAAAAACGGTTCGTAAAGAGCTTCGAAGATTTCGAAAATCAACTCCAACAGGAAGAGAATCGAAGAAAAGAGGAGGAACAATTAAAGAAACAAGAAGAAAGGGTCGTCAGAGAAACCTTGAAAGAAACGGAAGTGAATACAGATAAAATCGAAGATCAGAATCAGGTTTTTCAGGAACCGAAGAGCTCTTTTTTTAGTGAAAGAAGGAGCTCTCTTGATAAAGTTACAGAAGTTACACCACCTATTCAAGATTTAACCGTAGAAGAAAATATTCCTTCTCGGATAAACGATTTTTCCGGTTCGTCCGGCGAAGACGATGCCAGCGGCATAGATTTTAGCAAGCTTCAGACGACGATTATGTCAAAGATAATAGAAGAAGCGAAAATTTCCAACGAATCGAGGAACAAAATTCTGTCCAAAATGAAGCACAAGAAACCGACTCGCAGCAGCCGAATTTCAGAATCCGACGCAACAACTGTACCGGAACAAAGATATTCCTCCAGACATAAAGAACATAAGTCGCCCGCGAAAGACAAACTGGAACAAGAACAAAGTAAAAGTGAAGAAAACGATGTACCAAAAGGTCGTCGATATTCAGCGAAAGATCGAATCGAAGAAGAAGCAGTTCCGTTGCCTTCAGTATCTTTTGAAAAAGATACAACTGTACCGGAACAAAGATATTCCTCCAGACATAAAGAACATAGGTCGCCCGCGAAAGACAAACTGGAACAAGAACAAAGTAAAAGTGAAGAAAACGATGTACCAAAAGGTCGTCGATATTCAGCGAAAGATCGAATCGAGGAAGAAACAGTTCCGCTGCCTTCAGTATCTTTCGAAAAAGATACAATCTTACCGGAAAAGGTCGTACCGAAGAGAGATACAATCTTACCGGAAAAGGTCGTACCGAAGAGAGATACAATCATACTGGAAAAGGTCGTACAGAAGAGAGATACAATCTTACCGGAAAAGGTCGTACCGAAGAGACGCAGATATTCAGCGAAAGCTACCGTCGAGGAAGAATCAATATCGTCTGCAAACGATTCAAATGTGATTGAAAAAAATGTCCTTACAGGCGATACGAAAGAAGAAAGAATTCCGCTAGTCTCGACTGAAGAAAAAATCGAACAGAGAAGCTCCTCTTCGCGAATTTCATTCAAGATAAATAAAAGACATCAATTGAAATCGACAATTTTGAAAGATTGGGACGAAGAAGACGAGCCGATAGTTTTGCCCATCCGCCGATCCTTGAGATCCACATCCCAAGAGGCCACACACTTAGAAAAACCTAACGATATTAATAAAAAAGAAGATAAAAGCGTTACGGAAAGAGACGGTACCGAAGAAAAAGTATTAAATGTTCCTTTTAAAAAGAGCCGCTGGTCGAGAAGGACGAGCTATCCCAAACAAGATACCCCGAAAGACTTATTCAAAATTGAACCAGCTCAAAATATTTCGTTGCCCGTAAAAATCGATAAAAAATTGGTTTTCGATGTGACCCATAAAGAAGATCTAAAAAGCGTCAGTAGATTCTTAGAAAATGAAAAAGATTATAACAAAGAACCGGAAGTTGTCAGAAAAAACGATTTGTCCGAAGAAATACGCGAAATGGAAATAGAACTCGCTTCCAATGATTATACAACCGTAAAAGAATCTTCACCGTCAGATTTCACTGAAAAAATAGTTGCTACAGAGGAAATAGTCGCAGAGGAATTAGTTGTCGCAGAGGAATTAGTTGTCGCAGAGGAACTAGTTGTCGCAGAAGAACTAGTTGTCGCAGAGGAACTAGACGCCACAAATAAAATTGAAGCTACACAAGAAACAGATGTTACACAAGAAATAGATGCTACAAAAGAAATAGATGCTACAGACACGATAGATGTTACAGAAGAAATAATTTCTACAATAAAAACAGATGTTACAAAAGAATTAGATGGCACAAAAGAATCAGATGCTATGGAAGAAGTACCCGCAACAAAAGAAATAGACTTAATTGAAGAAATAGAGTTCACAGAAGATTTAGCTGCTACAAAAGAAATGGCTCATAGAGAAGAAACAGCTGTTACAAAAGAAATAGCTGCTGCAGAAGAAGAAATAACGCCTACAGAAGAAGAAATAGCTTCTACAGAAGAAACAGCTGATACAGATAAAATAACTCGTATAGAAGAAGAAGTAGCTGATACAGATAAAATAGCTCATATAGAAGAAGAAATAGCTCAGAGGGAAGAAGCAATAACTCCTACAGAAGAAGAAATAGCTCATAAAGAAGAAGCAATGACTCCTGCAGAAGAAGAAATAGCTCTTACAGAAGAAATAGCGTATACAGAAGAAATAACTGTTACAGAAGAAGAAATAACTCGTGTAGAAGAAGAAATAGCTTCTACAGTACCAGAAATAGCTCCTACAGAAGAAATATCTCACACAGAAGAAATAGCTCCTACAATAGAAGTAGCTCCTACAGAAGAAGAAATAACTCCAACACAAGAAGAAATAGCTCCTACAGTAGAAGTAGCTCCTACAGAAAAAGAAATAACTCCAGCACAAGAAGAAATAGCTCATACAGTAGAAGAAGTAGCTCCTACAGAAGAAATATTTCATACAGAAGAAGAAATCGCTTATACAGAAGAAGAACTAACTCCTACACAAGAAGAAATAGCTTCTACAGTAGAAGTAGCTCCTACAGAAGAAATAGTTCATGCAGAAGAAGAAATAGCTTATACAGAAGAACTAACTCCTACACAAGAAGAAATAGCTCCTATAGTAGAAGAGATAGCTCCTACGGAAGAAATAGCTGCAGAATATGTTTCCATAGAAGAAAAATCGGAAGCAGATTCAAACGTGGTTTCTGAACAAACCGAAAATGATCGAATCGTTAGGGAAAACGATATTGAAGATAAAAACTTGAACGAAACTATTTCCGAGCGTTTATCGAACGGTATAAACATGTCGACCGACGAATCGATGACTGTTTGCGAAGAATTTCAACATTCTACAAACGATATATCTTGCAATTTAACTGTAGAATCGCAGCCGGACCAATTGATCGTTCCATCGTTGCATGATGAAGAATTTCCGCCGGTAGCAGCGGCGTTACCGGAAGACGCGATTTGCGAGCCAGTTTCGAAACCGAATAAAAGGAAAAAGGGCAGAAGGAGATCGTCCAGATTTACGGCGAGAAAAAAGCGAAAAGTCAGTAGAGACAGTACAGAAACGATAGATAGTGAACAAATTGAAGAAAGCGTAGAAATCCTGAGTCCAAAACCAGAAATAGTACCCAAGGAGGATGAAACGGAAATTGGTTGTCTTCCCGAGGAACCGAGCGAAAAAATCGAAAGTACTGTACCGATCTCTAGTGAAAATTACAGTAATGTTACTGAAGAAGAAATTAATTTAAAGGAATCCGATTCAGAATTAATAATAGACACAGCACACATAGACAACAAAATAACTGAAATAGATGCAGTCGAAGAAGAAACGATATTTGAAGTTACAATTGAACAAGATTCGAGTAAATCTCATATCGACACTGACACCGAGATAGTAGAAACCGAAGAAATTATAGAGACTTGCATTGAGACGGAAGATTCGGTGACAGATGAAGATTTTGCAAGCGAATCTGCTCAAAAGGTGGCTGAAGAATCGCAAGAATTTCCAATTTCTACTGACGAAGCAATACAACATCTGGAACAATTACAAGGTGTTCCTAATGATGTTCCAATTTGTAACGATGAAGAGACAGTTGCAACTCATCATACTGACGAACGGGAACAAATTCCAGTTTCCGATGAAAAACAGATTGTAGACGAATTATCTCAAGACCTTGTTCTAGATGAAGTTCCAATTTCTACAGAAGAAGAAGAAGCAATAGTAACTCCAGACAATTTGGAAATTGAAAAAGAACAAGTTGTCAGTGACGTTCCAGTTTCTGCTGAAGATGAAGCAATAACAACTCCAAAAGATTTGGAAATCGAAGAAGTAGTGCAGGAAATACACGAACCTGTTTCCAGTGACGTTCCAGTTACTATTGAAGAAGAACTAGTTGTAACTCAACAAACTGACGAAGAGGAACAACCTTTAATTTCTACGTTAGATGAGATTCTAATTCCTACAGAACCAGCAATTGAGAAAGATGTAATTGAGGAACACGTTGATGCACCATTTAAAGCAGATGCAACTGAAGATCTAGTGAAATTGCTTAAAAAGCAAAACTCTAAGGAATTGGAGCCGATTAAAAAGCAAATAGTTGCGATTGAAAATGAAGAGGCAAAAATTGAAAAAGTAACAGAAGGCGTAGTTGTTGAAGCAGAAGAAGTGGTAACTAATGAAAGTTCAGACAATGAAATTGCAAGGAAACTCGAACAGAAAGCCATTACTACAAAACAAGACGATTTAATTAGTTCCCTATTTACATTTTCGCGAGACAAATTTATTATTGAAACTGAAACGAGTACCAACACAGAAAAAATAGAATCAATGAAAAAAGACAGTTACGAAATTAAAATTGGTGCAAAAAAATCGATCGGCGACGATACGATAGACGATGACGAAGATGACAATTTGACTGACTTAGTTAGCGATATCGTAAAGAAATTAAAGCAAGACTCTGATAAAAATCGAGATTTAGAAATGGATAATCTACGAGACACGCCAGAGAAACTAATTTATAACGATACCAAAATTCTGGAAAAGTCTAAAGACGATAGCGACGACGAAAAAGCCAAACTCGAAATTTTATGCGACAGCAACTCACAAGAAGCTTTTAAATTTTCAATACAAACCAATTTATCGAATCTGTCCAGAAGCGAAGAAATATCCGCTATAGCTTTAGCTACGTTATCGGAGATGAAAACAGATTCCAGCATTATCTCGGCTCCACGTGAAAACTTAAACTTCCCTGAAAAACTATCCGAAACGGAAATGGTCGCGATAGAAGGAAATTTAACTGTGATGTCAGAAAAAGATTTGGCAGATGCCCAAGTCGAGATTACGACAGATAAAGTGATCAGTTCGAAAAAACCGATCACTTTATCGAATTTCTCGATGGATTTTTCCGATTCGACAAGCGACAGCGGTAGTTTGACCGAAGCAATTAAATTCACCGATTTCGACTCGAAAGGCACTGAATTCACTTCGAGAGCCATAACGAAAGAACTGAAACCGAAATCGACCACTAAAAAAGCCAACGCGTACGATCAGTGCGAGTTACTAGACATCCTCGAAGGTAATGCCGACGTGGATAAGAAAATCGTCGAATTCCAGACGCCCACGAAGACTTTTTCGGGCGACATTATGGACTTCGAGGAATGCATTCCGTCCCAGATAGTATGCACTAAGGAATTCCAAAAAAATATCAACGACGAATTGAAGAAAAAGGACAAGTGCAGCTCCGTTATGTCTACCACATCGAAATTATTAGAACGCTTATCGGATACGAAACATCTGGAAACCAAAATCGAGCCGCCTAGCGAAAGTCCGGTGAAGATCGTGAAAAATCAAAAAATCAAACCCAAACCGATTATTCTATCGGAGCAAATTATTAAACCGGCTGTTGCGGAAAATAAAAAAGTCGCGCTTACTAATAATACTGTAAACGACATCGAAGATGTGGAGGCGTTCGTCATACATAAGGATTTGAAGATGGCAGTCGAAGTGAAGGAGGAACCTAAGACGCCCCCGAAAGCGGTCAGAAAACCCAGGAGTAAACCGACGGGGAAAGCCAAGATTCTTCAGCAAACGATAATTACGCCCGCGGGTGAAATTATACAGCCGGCTGTTGTTGCGCCGAAGAAGAAACCTGTTGCTGCTGCAAGTATTACGAGGTAAGATTGTGTTTAGGGTCGTACTTTCACTGTATTTTATCTATAAGAAGAACGGGTTTACCATTTCCAACTACAGGTAAATAAATAGTGTACCAGCTTAAAGTATACTAAAAATATCTAAGCAACCTCTAATTCTTATAGTAACTGATGGAAATGGAATCAATATGGAGTTCAGAAAGCACCTTAAGGAGGACAGCTTCCAAATTGAAAGCATCGTTAAGCCAGGAGCGAACTTTAGATAGATAGATAGATAAATAGATAGATTAGATTAGATAGATTAGATAGATTAGATAGATTAGATAGATTAGATAGATTAGATAGATTAGATAGATTAAATAGATTAGATAGATTAGATAGATTAGATAGATTAGATAGATTAGATAGATTAGATAGCTAGATAGATAGGTAAAACCCATAAAAATATAATAGTATATTATGCAACGAGCACGAAATGAAGCATATTTTGCAAGACTATGAAAGTTTGAAACACGAGCCGTAGTCGAGTGATGCAAATCATACGAGTGCAAAATAGCTATTTCGTGCGAGTTGCATAGTATACTTTTTCTACGACTGCTTTCTATTACATAAACAAACACAAATCGAATAAAATATTTATTTTATTAACTGGAATAGATTACACTGCAAATAACAAATTGTGGATAAATAAACTCGATTGAAACTGAAAAACTGGTCAAGCCGTACCCCAACCTATTTATAAAAATTAAACGTACAATTATTAAAAACCATTTTTGGGGAGGTAGTAGTGATATTATGTTCAATATTTACATTTTATTGAATTTGGCAATTTTCTGCAGTTGTAGTAGATGTGTTTCCCGTTTCTGAAGTTATATTTTTTATCTTATTAGAAATTATGTTGGCTATATCAATCTTATTTGTTAAGGATTCATCTATATAGCTTTCAGCAACAGCTGTAGACTTCCAGCCGCCATGACGCTTTAACGTGGTTATGTCACCACCAGCATCAACTAAAATTGTTGCCGAAGAACGGCGGAAGCAGTGACCTGTATATAACTCAGGATTTGGCAATTTCAAATACTTGGCAATATCTTTTCCCTTTGCCCCAATTTTATTTAACCCTATTCTTTGAACGGTGCATTTACCTTTTTGGTAATTTATAAAAAACCAGGGATCATTAACATGAGGAGGGCGAAGGTCGGCATATTTTTTAAAAATTTTATAATATTGACCAATTATAGTGAACTTTCGAACAATTTTGGTTTTAGTGTCTGGTACCGTCACCAAAACTGCTTCATTCAAATCATTAAAATTTGAAATTTTCATCTGATGTAATTCATGTCGTCTGCATGCACCCATTACACCCATAATTAATTCAACCTACAATAAAAATTCACAAATTGAAAATACTTTGCATTACACAAATATAAAAAATAACGTATTTTAAATATAAATAACCTAAACCTAAATAACCAATTAGTGCATTTCCAATTCTTTTGAAATAAAGGTTTATAATTTTATATCAATTTTGCATGGTATACCTTTTTATACATATAAGTAGGTAGAAAATAGTTGTCTTAATTAGTTATAGTGCAAACATATCTCTACTGGTTAGGTTACTTCCCAAGTGACATCATGTTCTCGATTGAAAAACGAATACGAGCTTCAACATTTTATTAATTTAGTTTTGAAAAAATATTTTAAATTTAAAATTACAAAGTAAATGTACAAATAATCTAAAATAAGTACCTACTTATATAATAAAAATGTGACTTTAATATTGCTGATTTAACTAATTATATCATCATCGTCGTCATCCTCATTGTGATTTATGATAAATCGTTCTTCATTATTTATGTGTATGCCGCTGTTGTTCCTGTAATCAGTGTTGTTCCTGGTTGTACAATTGTACAAAAAGTTGTACAATCAGTTATGCGGTTGTACTGTTGTACGCACTTTTGAAAAAGACAGAAATGTTGTATAATTTGAAATTGCTAAATATTTATGTAAAATCGGGTATATAAAAGGTTTTCTTCGCTCAAAAAGTATTTGTTAAATAGCATGCATTAAAATTAATAAAAAAATAAAAGTTTAAATTTGGCGCTATTCGCGACCAATCAGTACACCGTTTTACATCAAAAATATATTTTAAACTGGAAAAAAAGAAGAATTTTAAGCATGGGAAAGAAGTAGGCCATAGTCTGTCAATAAAAAAGAAGATTAATTAATGGTTGTACAATCGAAAGTAAAAGTGTACAATTTTGACACTGAAAGTTGTACAATTCAAAAATCCCTAGGAACAATACTGCCTGTAATCCTCTTCTATTTCACACACGTGTTTTATAACTGATTTCCACTGCGAATTGCCGATCGCATCCATTTGTTCTTTGATCAAGTTGACGACCTGTGAATCAAATTTGGGAAATATATTTCTTCCGAATATTTTGTTTCAATTGGCTCCAGAGTAACTCTATAGGGTTGAAAATACAAAAATATGGTGGCAACCTTAAAACTGTTATGACCCCTTCAGCTGCAATTTCATCAACTCTACTTTTTTCAAAATGTTTAGTTTTTAGGACTTCCAAAAGTTCCCGTTTTTGTTTGACGTTGCAGTCGCCGTTGATATTCATAATTTATAAAGCTGACGTTTAGCGCCGTTGTATACTGGGTAGATAACCTAATCGATTAAACCCACATAAATCAAAGTAGGAAGAAAATAAGAAAAATCCGACGTTCATCCAGATTGTTGCGCGATTTTCGTTTTGAGTTTTCATTATGAGGGCTTTCTTAACTGAGTAAAATGGATGAACATATTTATGTAGATATGTTAATATGCGAATGGTACGAACGGTGAACTGCAGAACTTAAAACTTTGTTATGTCAGAAAACGTCACGTACAGCAGTGAACGGTGACAGCAACAGAGAATACAAGTGCGCAAATTGTGAAAATATCTTTTTAACTTCCAACGGGAACTGCAACTACAATTGCAATTTTATAAATCGGCCATAAATCTACGACTTCGGAAGTCAAAACCATGTGTTTCAATATCTTAACTCATAAGAGCATGGACTTTTTTTTGTGAAATGTAAGATAAAACTTCCAATTTGTATAAAACTTTTTGGGACTGTATATTAGTATTTTTGAAATTGAATGGTTTCTCCTTTATTTGTGAAATTCATAAAATAATAGACATGGGCATTTAAAATACAGATTCAGCTTAAGTTTTTGTTAAATGAAACTGCGATATCTTTATAAAAAGCAATCACTTTTTTAAATACCATTCTGTTTGTGTGTTGGAGTCGAAGGATGGGATTGCCAACGCCTTCTGATTTCTCTCTTATTCATGCTTCATATTAATATTCTTTTATATGTTGCTCCTTATAGTTTTGCACTATACCCAACAAAAACGTAAGCTGAATATATATAAATTGCCATCACTGCTCTGACTTTCAGTGGCAGAAACAGCTGACGGATTTACAGAAATGGTTTTGAGTAAAATACTTACTGTGTTAAACGTTGATTAGAATCTAAGGTAGGGCACGATTTTTGAGCTCTAATCAGATCGTTTTAACTGCCACCTTAAGAGCTTTTCATTGTTTTTTTACTCAAATGCACATTTTTTCTTTCAGAATAACTCCAGAATCTCTTTCATCGATGTTGTCTAACAATACATCAAAACCGAGCGCAACAGTAATCAGTAACGCTACTGTAGATACTACCAATCAAGACGACAACATATTTGATATTTTCAGCATGCCGATCGTGCTCTCCGACCAAATCCTCACCCCGGAAAGCATCGAAAACATGCCCATCGTCATCGATGGCAATCCGCCCGTCAGCAAACCCACCCCAACCGTAATAACGCCGATTACGGCAAAAATACCGGCAAGTAAAGTCGTAACAAAAACGATTTCAAGTACTACTCCTACATTAATATCGACCAAGCTTTCCAACGTAACGCCTAAACAAAAACCGAGGATATTACAGTCCGGGAGCGCGCGAACCCCGTTAGCGTCCGCCGTTTTACCGCAAAAACCCGGCGGCGGCAAGTATATAATAGTGTCGCAGGGAAGTCCCGGGATTGCGCCGCCAAAAACTGCGCAGAAGAAGATAATGAAGAGGGCTTCTTTACCGGCGGGTATCGCGGCTAAAGTTGGTAATACGCAAGAAATTACCGGGAACAAGATTATGGTTGTTACTAATCAACAAGGACAACAGCAAAGGTTGGTAGAAATGTTTTTTCTTTTACTATAATTTATTAGTTCATTTATTTTATTGAGTGTTTTTGAGGAAAAAATCTTTATACTAGTGATGGCGGACCTTTTGAACTCAGTCTGCCAATTTGTTTAAGAAAAAAACTATATTCAAATATCCATTTTTTTGTGATATTATTAGCTGTAGTAAAAATTACCTCTATCGATCTCCATGCTCTCTGTAGTGGTTCCAGCAACGGTGCAAGTGGAAAAAGTTATGTACTGCTGTTTCTATGGCCTCACAGTACGTACGTGTTTCGGTTTCCATCTTCCCTTCTTCGTTGTGTAATTCATAAAGCAGCAGTGTCTTGATCCTCCTAGTAGCTACTGTAGCTAGACTAGTTCTGTTACCACAGGCTGCAACTCCTTAAGTGTTGATTGGTCTCACTAATGCAGTATTACATCCACCGCATATGATTTATCAATCAATCTAGGATTGATTATCTTTCTTTGTTCACTCATTTTAGAAGAAGTAAATTAATATTTTTCCTACATATGCACGAATTCAGATTGGAATTACTGTAAGTTTCTTTTTATCTATGGTTACAGTTACAAACTGAATATCTTTTGTCTGTTTTATTCCATTAAATTAGACTTATCGTCTTTGGGGAGTAAATAAAACTTCATTTTTCTTTAGGTTACTACTTACGCCTGCTCAACAGAAGGTCCTGGGCTATCAACCTCCCTCTGGTCCAAAGCTATCGAAGACTGTCGTCAAAACAAACTTGCTACAAAAAAGCATTGCGGCCGTTTCAAAAACAGAGGCTGGTTCCTCGAAAACAAGTTCCTTACTAGGCCAAAAAATCGTAGCAACTACTAGTCAATTTCTGTCTACCACTTCTACTTCAAAACCTATAAAATCGGTAATCAAAAGTAGATTGGCGCAGAATCAAAAGCCTTCTATATCTACGAGCAGCAAATCGGCTAAGACTATTTTAATAACAAACAAACACGGTCAAACTATTAAGAAGATAGCGACAACTGAAGATGACATAGATAAGCAGGTAGCCGAACAGTTGGAGGCCATAAAAGCTAGCAGCGGGATGCAATTTGGAACTCAGCCTAAACCCGAGATTGTGAACAATAAAGCCACTCCCAGGCTTCCAATTCGCAAGCCCCATTCCAAAAAGCAAGAGCCCAAAGCTAAGTCAACACCGCCTCTCGTTCATGCAGACTTATCAACACCTCCTCCTCTTGTAACCGCCTCCAAAAAGTCGCTTCCCGCTCTAGCGGAGACGAAGAAAACCGTTAAAGAAGAACCGAAACTTCAACCAGAACGTCCTCTTAACCAGTTGGTCATCCAGGACGCACTTGGCAACCAAACGACGATCACGGAAGGTCAAATTTTAGCGATTCCTAGCGAAACTGTGGATGGTCAGCCGCAGTCTTACATGCTGGTCACGCTGGACCAAGCCGGCAACTTGACGCCGTTGAACAACGAGGCTCTGATGTCGTTGGATCCGAATTTGGGACTGGGCGGTGACTTGAGTAATATGGTGTTGCAGATCGATCAGGGATCGATGGGAAGCAGCGTGCCGTTGGCTCAGCCCGCCACTGTTAAGTTGACGAGTCCCGGAGAAGAACTTCAAGCAGGTAAGGCTGTTAAATTATTGTTAAATATTTGTTCTTTGCCGCTAAGGTCGATTTTAAAAATGTTTTTAAAATTATAATTTTCATGTTGTGATAAATTTTATAAAGATTGCGTTGGAGATTGGAAACTGATAACTTGAATATGGGTGGTATCAATTTTACCGTTTTTAAATAATAAATTTCGAACTTCCTGACGAGGATTTAATTTATTTAATGTGCTATTATTCCAATATAGTTTGTAACATGGTATATTAAAATCTGTCGTAATATAGATTATATGTGTCTCAGACATAACAATTACATCAAAACGCCTACCAGATGCTTCTAGGAAAAGAAGGAATTGGTAGAAATTTTTGTAGACGCTTCTTATATTAACATGCAGTATATTAATACCACCAGAGGTAACCTGATTTAAATTATCACAAATTATTGTCTCACATGCTTTGAAGTCATCTAAAATATCATTATTATTGTTAGTGAATGTTACTGAGAAATTCTTTATGTGTACTTTTATAAAATATGTTGATTGCAAGTTATCTTCTATCTTATTTTTATCGGAGGATCCTGATCATTTTTTTCTTTTTTTCGAAAATATGTTCTCATTAAGGCAAAAGACAGTCTTGAAGCCTTTTCATTTTTAAAATCACCAACTTTCTTAAGCAGCCTACTACATTTGTTTATGGGAAGATCATCAGATACATTTTTTGTTTGGCACCTTGGAGGCGACATCTGTAGCTATACCTTTTAATTTCTTTATGGTCAAGATCTCTCTTTTAGTGTTATTGTGCTGGAATTTAACTTTTTGTGTAGTCTAGAGCAGTTGGTTATTTCGGTGTTGCTAACCTGGACTTGCATAGACAAAAATAGTTTATTGATAATATGTTTCCTGTCTGTATCCTCTTATTTAGGGACGTCTATAATAATCAAATTGTTTATTTTCTCTTTTGCACCCAGTACATCAATTTTCGGTTCAAGGATTGAAAGCCTATTTTTTAGGTTATCATTTTCTTTTTTACTATTTTGAGTTTATCCATGGCACTTTTAAATTGATCTTTTAATTCATCAAATGAGTTGGACATAAATTGAACCGATTTCTCCAGATCTTCAAATTTTTTATCCATTGATTTTTCGATGGGACCTAAAAACTGGTGGAACGAATCCCGAATAATATTTTTCAGCTTTTTTTCATCCATACTATAGGCGAGTTCGGTCAGTCAGGGGCTGGAGCGGGACAAATTTTAGGGTGCTTTTAAATGACATTTAAGCGTGTTAAACTGTCACTAATCGGACTAAACCGAACGCTAAAAGAGTCGTTTGGAGTTAAAAGTGTTAAAGGAGTTAAAGGAACGTGACAAACCGAACGCAATGCGTAATCGTTGTTTTCGTTTTCACTACGTTTTTTGACTTAACCTCACTTATTTCGATGTTTTCACTGCAATTTACACCCCCTTTGGAATTGATAGCTTTTGCTTGTACCCCCCAACTTGAGTGGAAGCAGGACCCACACTTGAAGAAGTTCTGTGAATCTATTTCTTTTTTTTTTGCAATATTTTCACTTTTTGGTATTTTTAGAATTGTCGGCGTGTTCTCGCGACGACATAACCTCAACTACATAACTTGACAATGGCTGGTTTCAAGTTTACCGTTTTTAAATAATGGATTTCGAACTTCCCGACGAAGATTTGTTGTAAATAAAATGCTCTCTCAATTCTTGTTAATGGGATTAGAATTTGTGTGTGCCGACGAGAGTCGAAATCTGAAAAATTTCAAATCTACAAGTTTGGATGTTAAAACCATGTGTTCTGATAGCTCAACTGGTAAGATCACGGACGGTTACAGTTCGAAGGTTTCAGATTCGATCTCTAGTAGATACACTCATTTTTCTTTCTTTAATTCTCAACTTTTTAAATTTTGTTGTGGTTTGTTTTTACTTTGGAGATATATGTGTGTATTTTTTATAATTTCGTAGGGGAAATTGGAGATTAATCGTTTTTATATTTCCAAAATTTCATTTCAGTTTTTCAGATCTCGACCGATTTTTTAAACTTTACTTTCTTTCAGTTCATTTACGAGGATTGTACCCGAAAACTTAACACTGGTGAATGAATAAAGGATCTTAAAAATTTATTGTAGTACAATAATTAGAATTGAGAGAGCTGGGATGGGATTAGGTCCACTACTGTGTAATGACATTGCTGGTGTAGTCGAAAGATGCTCAATACACTTATTTGCAGATGATAAACTGATATATTTTACTCATGAAAACACTGAAACTTGTTTTAAAGAAATTAACAGTTCTATAAGTAAAATATTGTATATTGTATTATTGTAACGGAAATTCGCTAAAAATAAATTATGAAAAGACAAAATGGATGTTAATTGGGGGTACGGGAAATTTAAAATAATTAAATGTATCGCTGTGTGTTTCTGTTGATGGAATAGTTTCAGACAGTTGAAAAATTTAAACATCTAGGGGTTATGGTTGATTCAAATTTACAATTTAAGAAACATGCTAATATCGTCATCAAAAGCATATCATTTTAAATAAACTATTTGAGGCGCTGTTATCCACATCCAATTTATAATACTCTAATACCTCATTTTAATTATTGTGCCACTATATTGTATTTACTCAACCAGAATGAATTGCAACGATTACAAAAGTTGTAGAATAGAGGTATGAAGATAATACTGAGCTGTTCGAGATTGGAACGAATCAATTCCATGTTGAATGTGCTTCAGTGGTTGCTTGTTAAAAAATATTTGCTATACTATTCCCTGCTATTTATATTTAAGATTAAATCCGGAATTTCCCCAGTATATTTACAAAATATTTTAAGTTATAATCAGGATGTTCATGAACACAATACACAAAATAAGAAAAATTTTAGAGTTTATAATGTCACGAAAAAATGTACACAACATTCAGTGTTTTTTAATGGCTTTTAATAATTTGCCTGAAGTTATTAAATATTCTTCAAACGCAGCAATATTTAAAAGAAAACTGCATGAGTACTTGATGGCCAATATGTTTTTTTTTTTCTTGTTCTTTTAATATGTTTTGTATATTTGACATGTAAGTGTACTATATCTTATGTATTTTGAATGTATGTTGATTATATCCCAGCAAACATTTTGGTGTAATTTGACGTCGATACTACCTAAATTATATATAATAAATTTGGTCGCAAAATTAGATTTAACCATAATTAAGTAAAATTTACGTTGGTTCGACGTGGATTCGACATAAGTGGAGAATAAGACGACGTCGAAATTTGGTTTTATTTACCAAAATAGGTAGAATTACATCTAAATCCACATTGTAGTAGCCCAGTACGTTTGGTTAGTAATACCTCTCTAGGGAAATTTGGCGTCAGCATAACGTTAATTCGACGTTAATTTAACTAAGTTTAGGTAGAAACTACCAAAATATTTGCAGATGACGTATGCCTCCAAGTGTACGAAAAGAAATTTTATACTTATTTGGTATTTTTATCTATATATAAGTAGAAATATTGTAAGAAGTCACCAACACAACTAAAACATATACCTAATTCACATGAAAGATTGAAAAATAAATAAATGTCAGTGACAAAAATATATGTAATGTAATTGCGGTGAATATATAGTTCACGCTTGTTGAAATTAATGCGAAGAAAATTTTGTCGTGCATGTTAACAGTGCTACTTAGAAAAATAACAATGCCCTTCCAAAATACTCTTTAATTAAAAAAATAAGAAAAAATATGATCGTGTAAAAAAATAATAATATTATGAACTAAAACTATGTTACGTTTGTTGTGTATCACTTTAGAAAATCAATAATGTTTCGTTTTTCGGTATTTTCATTCGTATGTTCTAGTTATGGTCATTTTAAAAATTTAAAATTTGGAATCGTACTTCAATTACGTTAAGAAAATATGTCGTATTGTGCGAATTCGACCTTAAAGTTATTATGACTAAGGAAATCTACGTATTTTACAAATACCTTTTTATTAAGTTGAATTAACTTCAATTTCACGACATATTAGTTAACTTTACCTATTTAAAGAAATAATAACTTATAGGTTTTATAAAAAATTTACCTATAGGTAGATATAACATATTTAGGTCACGTTTTTCTGCACTTGAGATTTTAGACGTTTCACTTTACGATAAAAATCGGAAGTATAACGATATGATTTATTATTTTTCGAACTCATTTTATTAATTATTTTTCGCACTCATTTAAAGCTCTATCTACACCACACGTAAATTAAGATTACGACTGTAATGGTTTTTTTAAAATGGCCGAAATTCTTAATAATGACGAAGACAGTAACTGAACAACCTAATTGTTAAAATAACCTAAATAATATAAATTTTACAAATAGGTCATTTATGACTCTTTTTAAATTGGTGGTTTTTAGTCGAATTTACTTTGTGGTAGATTTTTCAGGTAATTGCTACAACAAAGTTAACAAATATTTCTTCAAGATGACTTATAGGTCAACTAAATGAGTATTCGACTATTTGGTTGAAATTAGGTAGATAAACAGGTAGAATTTTGCTACGATCTCGACCTAATATTACTTTATAGGAGAGTAAATTAAAGCGGCCAAATAGGTTACTATGGAGGCATAAAATTACGTAGAATTTTTAACCAAATCTACCTAGTTGGATATTCTACTATAAAGACGATTTTTAGTTGCCAAACAGGTAGATATTACCTAAATATGGCACCTAATTTTACTACAAAGGAAATTTAACTTTGAAGCAATTGTTGGTTATTTTTTTTAGTAGCTTTTCCCTTGCTGATATGGTTAAAGTTACTTTTAAGCAGATTTGTGTGAAAGGTAGATTTCTTGGTATAATTTACGTAAATTTAAATATAAATTAAAACCGTTTGGTAAATTTACATTAGAGGTATATTTTCTAGTCAATTTTACGTAATAATTACCTTAATAAGTAAATTCGTCTTTAACAAAGTCGAGTTATAACTAATGTTATAGAAAATGTTTGCTGGGATACTTATGTAATTTATATATTTTAAATGTGAAGATGTATTTACATGTAAAAAATCGTTTTTTGACTAAATAAACGATTTATATATAATAATATCGTTAACTTTGCAGATTTTCAATTTTTCAATTTTCAAATTGCTTTCCAAAAATTTTACTTTTTAATTCATTAAATGTTTTTTGTAGAGAAGAGAACATAAATGTTGTAAAATATGCTAAGTGAAAAGTTGTAAAATAGCTCGTGGTCAAACAATGGGTTCCTCCACTTTCCTTTCCCACTGCAGCCCAATTCTTGTTTTTTTTTATCCCTCCTGGTACTGTCCAATTGTTTCAAACGCACTGAATAAAAAACAAAAATTTGATTTTATTTCAGGTACATCAAAAATTGATATTCCACGTGCCGCAGCCCCATCTCTCTCTCTACCGGTAGCCAATGATGTACCGACTATAGAACCCAAGGTTCTCCAGACCACAATCCCAGCCCCAGCCGAAGCTTCCGTTAACATAGAATCGATCGTTTCGAACTCGAGCACCGAACAGGGCCAACAACTTATCGTTACAGGCGATCCAATAGCAACGCAAAAATTCTTGGAATCCCTAACGGAAGGTACGACAGATTTGGCCAATATAATAGCCAATGCTGAAGGAAAAAGCATATTAATCCAAGCCGACGGCCAGCAGATACTCATAAACACGAACACGGACAGCCAGTTATTGCCGAACGTTGGCGAGAGCACCGAAGGTGGTGGAAATCCAATTTTCGCCACGCAACCCAACAAAAACACGGACATCCTAGCCGCCGCTCTAGCCGACACCGACGTGTTCACGACGCAACCCAAAATATCCCAGTTAAGCCCGAACAACGCCCTCTACCCTATGAACGTCGGAAACGTCCTCGAAACGAGTCTGACCCTAAACTCCCCCATAATGACCCCGCTAGAAGTACCTAGTACGAACACCAAGAAGATCCCCGACGACGAAGCCGACATTCTAACTCAAGTACCGAAAAACGTCGATCTACCGATCACCATCACCGATCCGAATATCTCTCAAACGGTCGCCAATCAACAGGTGGCGAATTTGATGGCCAGCGAATTGTGCTTGGGCATATCGGAAACGACGATTTCCAGCGGATCGACGTGTTTGACGAGTCCGAGTTATAGTTACGCGTTGGCCACGCTCGACGAAAACGATATGTCGCACAAACCGTTCAGTAGCAGCATGCCGTTGTTGAACGACGACGTGGAGGAATCGACGTCCGGTCGCAAATCGTTAGACAAGGACGACGAGAAAACCGCCAGCAATCTGAATTCGGAAGGATTCTTAGAGGAAGAAAGCAGGTTAATAATGTTTAATTTAATTTAAATAAATATATACCCTCAAATTCCTTTACGTTTTGGACCATCTTCAGCACCTTTAATCTCTATATCGCTGATTTCCACAAAACTGTCACAACTTGAAAGAGCAATTTTTCAGGGCTATCAAATAAAGATTTTAAAGGTCTAAAACTAGTTCTGGCTAATCGTGTATTTAAAATTTTAAGTTTTTTTGCTTCTCTAATAAATAGAAAACCCCTCGCGCGAAATTTTTAGATCATTAATTTTGTTTATGAAAATGTCATTTGTCAAAAAATTTCGAAAAGAAATGTGTTTGTTTTTGGAATTAAGACGGCCCTCTATTGAGCACCAGCGTTGCAGAAATGACGTAACCTCGAAGTATAAGAATTTGGACGCGAATATTCAGATATTTACATATATGCAAGTAATTATTCTGGTGTTGGAATGCGAATTTCCATCTTCCTCGGGTATCTACCATCAGTTATTTCGGATAGGAGACAGATGTAGTAAATTTTTTCATTTCATTTCGTTAGTCCAAAATAAATCGTCCTGATGAATCTGAAAAAAATACAAACCATTTATATTACTATACACAGATATTTGCTGATTCGGTGACAATTCATTTTATTGCAACAAAAACATAAATAAGTGAGAATTGTCGCCTATGTTGGTTTGAAACTTCAATATGTTGCCAGAAAAACATGTACCTTATTTTTAGAGTCAATAAGACTCACTTTTTCAACTAATATTCCCATTGGAGTCGAAACTACAAAGTAACATAATGAACGTTGTTACGTGTAGCTTACCTTGTACTTCATAAAAATAGTTATGAGTTTCTTTCAACTGCATCTGAAAATTTTCATCAAGCTTACAAAATGTTATGTTTTTTTCTGGATTGCTTCCAAAAGGTGCATTTGTGATGCAGTTTTTGGGCATTTAACTTCTACATTTTCACTTTTAATATTAATATACAGTGCGGGTGTAAATATCCTCCCCTATTATCTTTCGAACGGATCGTTATTTTTCAACCAAATTTTGCAGACTTCTATGGGACTTTAAGTACTACTTTTTACAATACTTGTTTTCGTTACAACATCATCTGCACAAGCGTGATGTCATTTGGGGAAAAAGTTAAATAGGAAAGTGGGTTATTTGACACTAGCAGTTAATGGTATTGTGTACACTTTTTAAACTGTGCAGGTGCGGCATGTGTCACGTGTCATGTCATCTCTCAACTTTCATGTCATCTCTCAACTTTCATGTCATCTATCAGCTGTCATGTCATCTGTCACCAGTGTTTCCAACCTCCAGTTCTCCAGACAACGACGATGACTAAAGATCACGTACGACAATGGACGAAGAGTGTTTTGCTACCTTGTTATTAATATTCAACGACTCTGTCTAACGATGATGTACGACAATGAACGAAGAGTATGACAATGACTAACGATCACGTACGACAATAAACGAAGAGTATTTTCTTGCCTTGTTAATAATATCCAACGACTGTGACTAACGATGATGTACGACAACGAACGAAGATCCTCCAGTTCTCCAGACAACGAAGATGACTAACAAGGACGTACGGCAATGAACGAAAAATATTTTGTTACCTTGTTATTAATATCGGCAATGACGATATGCCAATAAACGAAAACGAATGACTGATGAGATTTCTACCTGTCACTTAGCTTATTCTCAATACGAAACCATGGTCTTTTTGACTTCCACTTCCTATCATTTTTACAGCTGCAACGCATTGTTGACACCATTCTCCTCAATGATAATTTCTACGAATTTTTATGATTTTATCCATCTACGATTATATGTTTGCCTCCTCCTTCCGATTGTCTATCCTTTGGTCTCTCTCTCTCTCTGTCTTTCCGTTTGTCCACCTAAGGTCCTTTTGGTAATACTAGATTTATTTCAATGACATGCAATTTGACCCCTGTTGAGGCTTTGCTCTGACTCTTTCGTTTTTTCCAATAACAATGAATTGTGCTTCAACATTATTCTACTTCAGCCTACTCCCCTCACTAGTCCTTCTCCTCCTCCTCCTCCAGTTCTTTATGTCACCAGGAGTTAGGTTGGATAACTTTTCATATATGACACTTGTGCCTTCTGAAATATTAGCTCTCTTCAACGGCTATCTTCTTCGTCTCTTTGATACTAGGCAAATTTGTTAGGTTAGACATCCTCCTACACACTTCCTCCTCCTAAGCCATCCCTTTCTCCCTTTCTTTCTCTTCTCTCTTTCCTTCTTCAACACATCTCGGCTGGTTGTTACAATTACAAGCTTATTTTCGTTCTCTTCTCCTAGGCTATCCTCCAGTTCTTCATGTCGCCAGGGGCAGGCCACTGCGTAGAATTTAGTAACGGTCATCCTATGCGATGGCCGCCATCTTGGATCGCAAGCTGAGTCGCAAACGATTATTCTTACAATTGCTAGTTGACCTAAAAAACCGAAAATAATTATATCCCCCAAGTTTACTAATTATACATTTATACGTATTTTATTGAGAAACTAATTCAGAATATTTTTGTAAAACTTGGAAAAAATCAATGAGTAATTTTTTTGAGTTTTCTTTCGGTTACGTCTCTTTTCACTACAAAACAAACATTTTCCTTTATCAACTCCCTTCGTTTGTTTTATTCTTCCCATAATTACAAAATCACACAAAAATAGTGCCGATAATGAACGGAATCAGTACGCGAAACCAAATTTATAATATAATAAATAAATGTCTACCACAATCGACACAAAATCCCAAAAATAAAAAAAAAATATTTCCGTAGGCTGGAACGCACGACTGATGTTACTGGCGGACGGTCGCTTCGTAACTAACTCGCTTATTATCTGTTATGCCGCGGCGCCACTAATCAATCGTTGTAAAATGCACTTTTTATTTTACGCCCCAAAGGTTCATTTATCATTATTTGCCAAAGATTTAAAAAAAGCTACACTTTCAGGAAACATATTAATAAAAATACTATTAAAAATATTAATATGTATGTTGTTCATAATTAAAAAAAAATACTTTCCCGTAAAATAGATATTTTTCTAAATCGACTATTGAAAATTTCATTAAAATCGGACATGTAATATGGAAACAGAAAGTAAAATCATTTCAAGTGAGTATGAAGCCCTCTTAAAATCACCGCAAATGATAAATTTTTGTGCCAAAACGGATAAACGATAAATATTTAATTTAAAAAATTATTTGTAGGTTCACGCTAGGCGGAGGAATGTGCAGTTCGTTGAGCGAGCCCCCGCCAGAAATGTTCGACATACCCGATGTGAATTCTTACGGCGAAAAAAACGGAAATAACATTCCGTTGTCCCTTCAAAGTACTCCGGATTCTAAGGACGACGACACGACAGACGTGTTCTCGAATCAAGCCGAGAGTTCCAGCGAGGGATCGTGCGAAATACCCGTACAACCCAAGATCGTGGCCAAAGCCGTCGACCTGCCCGAAGTTTCCGAGATGTAATGGTGAAACTAACATAGAATTGGAACTTGCGGCATAAGTACTAGGAACACTGTTTTACCGGTGTCCAAAAATCGGTTTATAACGCATTCGGGTCGGGGTTTGGTTAAACAGAGAAACTAAAAGGATATTTTGTTGGAACAAACTTTTTTTTTAATACCATTGTTTCTGATAAAATTTTAACCGTTCTCGTTGTTGTATTAGAATTTGGGGTTGTCTGATTTAAAATGATAAAATATTTTTTCAAATCAATTAAAATTTGACTGAAATAGGTTAAAATGATTTTGCAGACACCACGATGCATCTGCTCGTAGGAATTACCGTTTCATTTTTATTGAATACTGAACACCAATTTGCAGACATCATCTTCGCCACCTTCAAAATTGTTCTTTTGTCGCTCCCTAATTTTAATAATTGTGGTATCAAAGGTGAAAAAAACAAAAAGAATTGTTATATAATTATTAAAATTGAGCAAAATAGATGAGAATGCTTTAAAACTTCTTCATTGTTTTTGCCTTTTGCCATAATAAAATTGCGCCCTAAGGAATTTAGTTTTATGGACAATTTTTACTTCGAAAATAAGAAAAAGTTAACATTAACCAATTTTTTCTGCCGATTTGCCATACTTGTCATATTTTACATATTTTTAAAACAATTTCTCATAATTTAGATTGTTTGGTAGAGAGTTTTGAAAATTCAGATTCATGGCACTTCCTAACTGAAATGCCATTTTGTATTGTGATAAAAATAAAGTGAGTTTCGTTATGAAATGTTGAAACTAGAAGCCATTTTGCATCAAGTATGAAATTTTTCCAGCCTATTTGTAATTTAAAAAAATATTCAATTGTTAGAAACAACATGAACTGTGATAAAAAGAATCAAAATTGAAAAATGTCAAATATTGGCTCTTATAAATATCAATGCTTGTTATTGATCACATAATTTAGGCTATCGCTAAGGGAAATATGGCTTGGTAAAATAATAGATTATTCGATAATTTTTTTTTTAGAAAATTGAGTAAGTTCAATAACTTTAAATTTTTTTCCCCTCGGACAGTTCTGACAAACTGATACCAATCATGGGGGGTTTTTGAACTCAACTTCCCCTAATGATTTTTTTTGCTCTCTCGATTCTCGCATCGTCCGCATCGCATTCCAGTCTTGATTGGCCAACTTCTAAAAGTTTGTGTTCTATGACTTGGAGATTTTTACATGAATGTAAAAACCATGACATCGCTGCGGACATAATATTATTTTTATTTTGACCAGGGCAAGAATCTGAATAAAACACTACTTTAGTTACAGTTGATGGCAAATTATTTAAACATTTTCCATTGTAGGAAGCAATTTGGTCAGGCCCACGATCCGATATAGCTTCATGTCACATAAAACATGTCGTATTTGCCGCATTACAATCTCTTACTGTAAAGTTATAGATCCACAACTGTCTTTTGTAGTAGACTCCGCCAGTTGTTAACGAAGGAGTTGGAAGATTTTGCTGTAAATTGAAAACCAGTACATGCTCATTTTGAGATTGACTTGTTCTTTCTTTGTCGATTTTCTTTTGGTTACAAGCTTTTTCTGCCAATTCCAAGTGATTCTCTTTCTTTAGAGCTTTCTCGTTCCGTTCTTCCTTAGTAGATGCACATTTAAGTTGATTTGTGAGCCTGTCACATGTTATACATGTATCTATGCTTGGGTTTTTAATTTTATAACCTGTTTCCCTGAATAGTTTATCGTACATACTATAGCATAACGGATTTTCCTCTCATTCAGCCTTTCTTTTAGCTACGTATATGTCATACATTTTGGCGACATTAACAGCCGTATGCATAGTCAATCGCCAGTGACTCGCCAGAGATTAATTTCGGCGTATCGCCAGCGATTCGCTGGCGATCCGCCGGCGAAAGCCCAAAAAGGAGATTATCACCGGTATCTCTCGCATTTTATTCATGATTTCTTAAAACTCAAACAATAATGAACGAATATCAAATTTTTCCCTATAAAAGAACATGAAAACTTGCGTGAAATGACATTCCGGTGACAATCTCCGGCGAGTCGCCAGCTTTTTGGGCTTTCGTCGGCGGATCGCCAGCGAATCGCTGGCGATACGCCGAAATGAATCTGGCGAGTCGCTGGCGATCGACTATGCATACGGCTGTAAGGGTAGGTGCCAAGTATAGCTTTGTTGTATGGCTTCTGGAGTAATGACTATGATATTTTGGAAAACTGTTAATGTGTTCGATTACTGCCTCTTTCATTATCCCTACTATTTACTGGCTTTTGCGTGGCTCCCCTAGGTTTTCTTTAACAATTCCCGAGGCTGACTTCTGTTTCTTTTGAACTATAAAATCAATTTTGCCTCTTGTAATGCTGTGAACTTTTTGGAACATAGTTTTGCAAATATTAATTTCTGTGCCAGATGAGGTAGCAAAGTGTGAGACCGTGATATCCCTATTCTTTCTTTTTCCGGTTTCAGTATCTTGACTTTTTCTTTCTACTTTTTTTTTCCGAGAATCTCATGCTGTCAGCTAGAAACTGATCTTTGTCAGTGATATTTGTTAAAAGTTCTCGAAAATACTTTTTTGTACTTCTGGTGATAGTCTCTCAACACATTTATAAAATTTGCAACAAGTAGCGACAGGCTCAAATTCTTCTGCTGGTTTCACAACTGCTTTTCTGGTAATATATTCCTCCCCTTTTGATTTTTTTTTTCTTCATCAATTCTCTGCTTATTCTCATCTTTTTTTTGTTTGCTGCAGACTATTATTCTCCATATCAGGACTTGATGGCTTACATCTTTTAGATAATACTTTGTTGATGAGTGGTTCATTAACAGAATCGTCACTGTCACTAAATGGCTCGTTTTTGTCAGCTTTTCAATTTCGGACACAAAATCGGGGTCTCTGTCATTATCCACATTTTCAATGTCAGAATCATTTTCTTCCATAACTATCAATCCAGTAACTCCTGACACTTCATTATCAGATGAGTCACTTTCCTTGGACACAAAACTAGATATTCATCTTCAGATTTACTAATTATTTGGTATGGACAAGGGATTTTTGCTGTTTGAGATACGTTATCCACATTACTACAGCTTGGTGTTGAGAATACTCATCATAACTGAAAACTCTTTCAATTATCATTTTTTGATTTTCGATTCGATTTTTCAGTACTTTCGCCATATTATTTTCACTATCCAATGTTTTATCACTGAGTACCCCTTGACCAATAACTTTCTGATCCAAATCACAAATTTTTGGCAGTTCCACCATATCTGCAGATTTACTACATACTGGTTTCGCCATTTCTACCATACCTTGGTAATTTTTTGAATTCGTTATCCATCTGAAAGAGAAATGTATAGATTTAAAAAAATTTAGAAAACAAAATGATGTATTGATTTGTACAAAAATTAAGCAAAATAAGAATCTAAATTGGAAATATTTAGGTTTTATTTTCTTTGTCTAGGTAAAAAGAAAATAGATACCTTCTTAACTAATTTAACTAACCTGTGCCATCTCGGATTGATTCGCAAAGAAATATACATAAAACAGCTGGGGAGAATCACTTGATCCGAATGATTTGGACATGGAGACTACACAAGGAACAAGCACTCAAGTGTGGCATTTGGCAGAGTATGTCCGCGCTTTATCGTATAAATAAAGCTTTCTTTTTTCACCACTAGCGTCGCTAATTTTTCTTTTGTACCGGTGTGAATATAGAGGAATAAACAAATGTGAAATTAGCGTGAAAATAAAGTAACCGATTATTTAATTAACGTAAACACGTGTCAAATGTTTTTAAAATAAATAAATATAATTAGAGTTATAATTAATTAATAATTTATTAGAATTATTTATTTTATTTCAAACTACCGCCTCATTCTCTTATGCCATTTTGGTACTTATGGAACACTAGCGCCCTCTTAAAATACTCTGTTTAACACAGTACGCTTGTTATACATGGAGTGCGTGCTCCTTGTGTAGTCTCCATGTATTTGAGATGGGATCTGCGATTCAAATCACATTTCGTTTGACTAGAGTAGGCAACCAGTTCAACGGTATAATACATAATTGGTTGCATATAAAGCGGTTTAAAGGTGTTTTTTCACTTATGGCCCACACATACCTCTGGCCCAGACATCCCGGTTTTCCCCTATTGATTGCCGTCTTTAACTAATCGACGTAAGAATAATCTACCACAACTTTCTTAGTTCCCGTTTTTTGAACCTGTTTTTCTTTATTCGACTTATTTGGTATCATTTTGACGAAATCCATCCTTGGTTCTATATGATTTCGCCGAAATCCTCCTTAATTTTGTACTATTTCGGTGATTTCGCCGTAATCATTCATAAAATTTGCAAATGAACGTGTACATTTTCTTCTTGAGGAATAATCGGGGCGTTTATATTTCTATATTGTAACGAAAAATTGATTTCGGCTATGATTTTTTGTGACGATTTCGGGATTTCCGTGTTAATTTCGAAAAAAAATTTAACGATTTCGGTCGATCAAAAAACAAGTGAAATCCCAAAAAAAGTCATCCGAATATTCAAGAAGGAAGGATTATAGATAGTTTATAGTAAATTATATATAATTATTATGCTGGAATTCTATAAAAATAAGAGGAATTTCGGCGAAATCATATACAGGGTGTTTCAAAAAGATTGGTCATAAATTATACCACATATTCTTGAGTCAAAAATAGGTCGATTAAACCGTACTTACCTATATACAAAAGTGCACCCAAAAATAGTTACAGGGTGTACAAGATAAAAATTTAAATGAATTTTTTTAACGTTGCTCTTAAACAGTTTGGCATTTTTTCATGAAATTTTATATGACGTGTTAGAATACCATGACTAATAATACCAAGGAGAGGGCAATATTTTTTTCTTGATTTTTATAGGTTTTTGGAGTGGGTCACCGCTCTTTTCTCCACTCCACTTTTTTGTAGTATAAAATTTAATTACAAATGAAACGCCACTGGAATGCAACATCCATTTGGAAACTTTTTTGTCTCCTAGTTTTTGTTTGTAAAAAGTTTAGTTTAGACGATACAGCCATTTGAAATGACAACTTAAAAATATTCAATGGAAATTCTATGTATGAAAAATATCAAAATCAAGTTTATTTTTAATTTACAAACTAATGTCTTCAAAATAAAAAAAATTAATTTAACAGGTGTTCAAAATTATATTCTCCTCCTGTATACACTTACTACATAGTTTTAACAATGAAAATCGAATTTTGATATTTTTGCATATGTATAATTTACATTGAATATTTTTTAAGATGACATTTTAAGTGGCTGTATCGTCTAAACCAAACATTTTACAAACAAATACTAGGAGACAAAAAAGTTTCCAAATAGATGTTGCATTTCAGTAGCGTTCGATTTTTAATAAAATTTTATATTACAAAAAAGTTGAGTAAAGAAAGGGGCGGTGACACAATCCAAAATCATACAAAAATAAAAAAAAAATATATCTCCTCTACCTCGATTTTGTTAGTCATGGTATTTCAACACGTCATATAAAATTTCTTGAAAAAATGTCAAACGGTTCAAGAGCAACGTTAAAAAAATTCATTTAAATATTTATTTTATACACCCTGTAACTATTTTTGGGTGCACTTTTGTATATAGGTAAGGGGGCGTTCATTAATTACGTGAGGTGTTCAAGGGGGGAGGGGATAAAACTAAATCTTTCTAAATCTCACTTGGGGGGGAGGGGGGGTTTTCGTAAATCTCACGTAATTTTTTTTCTAGTAGAAAACGGTGTAAAATTGCGTGAAAGTAAAGTTAAATTATAGTAAAAGTATTTCTAGAATAAAATATGGAAAAATCTTATAATTATGTTTATTTATTTTTTATTAATTTCCATTTAAGTATTTATCATTTAATTTTATTAATGTGATTTTAAATAATTGCAACTCTCAAACACTAGTCTTTGCTAGTCTTAAATAAAAGTAATGGAACATATTGTGTTTTTGTTTTTTTTTTTTTTTAATAATCCAACACATTTACACCCAAATCACGAATTTTGAAAAATCTCACGTGAGATTAGGGAAGGGGGGAGGGAGTTAAGGAAAATCTTACCAAATCTCGCCAGGGGGGGAGGAGGAGTCAAAAAATCCTCAAAAATACCTCACGTAAGTACGGTTTAATCGACCTATTTTTGACCCAAGAATACGTGGTATAATTTAAAACCAATCTTTTTGAAACACCCTTTATAAATCAAGGGTGTTTTCCGCGAAATTAGTTGGTAAAAAAATATATAGGTACCTATATACAGGGTGTTTCCTAATAACATGCTAATATTTAAGGGGGTGATTCTTGGACTCATTTTAAGAAAAATACTGTCCTAAAAGTTTTAACTTTTGAGGTACAGGGTGTTAAAAAAAACAAATTTATTGACAATTTCATACTAGTTTAAATATTTTTATGAAATTTGTTGTACGACATTTATACATTAAAGAGCATTTTTTAACAATAAAAAATTGATTTTTTTCTTAAAACTATCCCAAAAGTTAATACGTTTAAGACACACATTCATATCAAGTTTTTTTCTTAAAATCTAAGAATCGCCTCATTAAATATTAGCATGTTATTAAGAGACGTCCTGTATATTTTGGGGATTTATAAACTCAATAATAAAATGTTGGTCATTGTTAATTTTATAAGTTAGGATTTAAATATGAGTGTTTGTATAAAATCGTTTTGGTGCCTGGTAAAACGGTGTTTCTTGTGTGACTCGGAGGAGTTGGAAAAATTGGATAAATATAGAGTCAGTCGAGGTTTTTTTTATGGAAACTTTTGGTAAAACGCACAGTCGTTTTGAAAATTGCTTTAAAATTATTTTAAATTAATTGAAAAGAAGAAGCCTCCAAAGAAAGACCTCGGCGATTTTTGGGTACTCTATAATTCGACTGAAAATTAAATAAGTTTTTTTTTGTAAATAATATTGTATAGGATTGTAGAAGAAGCTAAATTTCTGATCATTGAATCTTATTATTATGATTATTTTTTTTTTTGGTTATATTATGTTTGTACATAGTTCGTTGTTATGTACAATTTTGTACATAAAAAAGCTTTTATTAGTGATTTTTTATTATAATACGAAATAAGTTTCATGTAAGCACATTAATAAAAGTTAATGTTAACTTAATAGTTATATAAATGGTAACTATTTAGATGGATTTTATGTGTGTGATGAAATATTGTTTTTTCCCTTTTTTTTTGTACGAGGAACCAGACATTGTTTCATTATATTTTAGAAGACGATAAGAAAGAACATTATAGCATATTATTTAAACATTACAGATTGTATGATTTTATTAAAAAAATCGTAATTATTTTCGATTGATTTATTTCAGAATCCTAGACTACCTTTCAAATTTTACAGAGAATTTGAAATAACGTTTTTGAAGTTGTCGTGTACGGGGATCAATCACGTGTTTACTTTGGAAGTAACTATTGTCACCAAATGGATAATTGCACTCCCAGATAGCACAAAGACGTCTTAAATACCTACGTGTTACATGTTACAAAAGGGGACGTCTTTAAGACGACTTATTAATAGCTTATAATAGTCTTGTGAAGCCTTAAATAGGCCAAAAAATACGAAATGCTATATGGCACTAGCGGCTCCACATAATGCGCATGCTTGCTAAATTGCCATAAGAATCACAGCTTATACAATACAGCTCCACAACTCCGTGTCTGCTTCTTTGATGTGGCGGTCGAGAACCAAGCGAGACGGAATGGTGCTATCTCTGTTAGATTCGACGGAAAAGTCGGGCCCGGATTAAAAAATATATTTATTATTGAAATAATTGAAGACCTTGGCGTAATAAGGTTGGTTACATGCCACATTAAGTAAGTTTTGAGAAATTAAGTTTTAAATTTGTTTTAAATCTATCAAATATAAATAAAAAAATTATTTAAATATAAATATTACGAATAATAGCACATCTTTCGGATTAGAGATAAAATAATTTGTATGTGGCTAGTAATATCCTTGTTAACAGATGTTTCGAGTTAAAACAGTCACTTCACGACAAATTGTGGCCGTGGATGCAAATCAAGTGGTACCCTGTGCGTGGCAAGTGTCATTCATCGCGCAAAGGGTTTATAGTGTTTATACCTAGATAAACGACTGCTTCGACCGACAGGTCTGGGAAGTCGATGATATTCTGGGTTATTATAAGGGTCATTCTACAAAAAGGGGACAATTCATGTCCACTTGATTTTTTCAAATAAAAATGGAATATTACTTGTTTTATAACCAGTGTAATCAAGACATATAAAACTGTTATATATCTACCTTAAGTAAAAATACTATAAAATTTAATATTATTAGTTTTTTTGTAATGTTTTAACATCAAATGTCAACACCATAGTGTGTCCAACTACCTATTTTTTATTTCTTATTAAATATTTCCACACAACAGATAGTCCAAACACACGCTTAAAACTATAAACGTAAAAAAATATTGTTCAATTATCGTAATCATGAATGTCCAGTGCGAACTTTTGTTTATTTCTCTATTTTTTTAACCCTTAAAAATGTCCTACAAGTTTCGCATCAACACCTTTCTCAATCATGACGTCGCAAAATATAGTAAAGTAGAGGGAGACACATACGATTAGACTTACATTTACATAGTATTATTCTGTTATTTGAGTGTACGATGTCAACCAAGACAGTTGTTTGAGACATTAGTGATCCGTGCTATATGTTAGTTGCATAAAGGTAAGCGTATGTTTATTATTGTTTCTTAAAT